CACACACTCCAGAAAATGTGTAGGACTCAATTTTGATGCCTAATGCCTTTGCATAAAATAGGAGGTGAGAAGAGCTTTGTTTCTGTTCCCTGGAGGCTTATATTTAGCCAGAAAGAAAAATACTATAATATGGAGAAGGGGTATCAAATTCAATTTCATTGAGGTCTGCATCAGGGCTGTGGTTGACCTCGAGGGGGCGTGGGTGGGCGTGGCTGACTGGGTGGGTATGGCCAACTGGGTGGGCATGACCAGCTTGATCACACTCACTGAACATGGCTGTCTGGGTGGGTGTGGCTGTTTGGGTGGGCATGGTCAGCTTGACACCACAATGTTTCCTCTTTGCATTAAGTAGACCGGGCCAAAACAACGTGGGCCGGTCCCTTACTTTTTTCATGACGGGCCCATGGGCTGGGTATAACTCCATCCAGCCCATGGGCCTTGTGTTTGACACCCCTGCTATAGAGTGATATATGTTGACCTTATATAATTCAGTTTCTACATTTCAGGAAAGGCTAGGTAGTATTTTTTTTGCTTGTTTCAATCATTATATATAGAAATAAGATTATAATATTATGTCTGGGTGTAGGCTTCATAGAGCAAAATAGAAGCCACTTCCCTATAAAGGAGCATGGAATTTGATTGGGAGTATAAGAGGTCCTCAATTTACAACCATTTATTTAGTAACCATCTGAAGTTACATCGGCTCCAAAACAAATGACTTATGATTGGTTTTCACACTTACGGCTGTTGCAACATCCCCATGGTCACGTGATCAAAATTTGGGTGCTTGGCAACTGGTATGTATTTATGACATTTGTACTGACCTGATATGATCTCTATTTGTAATCTTCCCAGTCAGTTTCCGACAAGCAAAGTCAATAGGGGATTTGCTTAATGACCACATGACTCGCTTAACAACTGTGGCAAGAAACGTCATGAAAGAGGGCAAAACTCACTTAACAACTGCCTTGTTCAACAACATAAATTTTGGACTCAATCATGGTTGTAAGTCAAGGACTTCCTGTACTTTAAACTTCTTGACTTTGGTTTTTCTATTAGCATAGAAACTTGATGATATTATCATAGTCAGAGAACTGCCAAATAAGAGATACCCCCCCCCAAAAAATCATGTTTTTAAAAAATCTGCAACATTGTTATGTCAGCCTCTATAATGTTATTTGGGAAAGACTTTGGGATTCAGGAGGATTAGACGCAGAATAAACAAAAATCAAGCAAAGGGTATTTCAGCTCACAAAAGAAGAGGGAAAGACATTTCAGAAAATTCGGGCCGTCCCTTGTTTTTTGGGAAAGAAAAAGGAAAGGAGGGGAAGAATACATTCCAATTTGCAAGATTTTATTAACATAACTTTGCCATAAAGATAAAGCTAGTTATCAACTCGTAAAGCATTCCTATGCTTGTTTTCAAGTTGCCATAAGCAGGGGGAGGGAAAAGCCTGAAGGAACAGTACGGAAATTAAAACCAGAAGTACATTCCATGCTTATCTTACAATGATTGTAGCTGCCCATGAAAATCCTTCATTGGAGAATGTGATTGATGACACCCAGCCCATGAATGTCCTTCGGTTGGAGAATCTGATTTATGACACACCCAGCGGGGAGGGGAGAAACAGGGTTACAGGTGACTGCAAATCACATGTGTCAGAGTTGGCTTTATATGGCTCAATGCCAACATGTTCCTCCTAAGAAATCTTTTGGATTCTTTTGAAGCTTGGCTCGAGACTCATGATTTAATTAGGGCAATTTGCCGGAATCCTGACACTAATATTCACTGTTGTACTTTTTGTACTGTTCTACTTTTTTTCATAGGACTAACAATTTCTACTAAAGTACTAAATCTGGGCTGCAAAAATCTGGATGATTACCCTGTTTCTCCAACAATACGGCCTCCCCCAATAGGAAGTCCCAGCATGTTTTATAGGCATGAAATGAAATTAAGCCCCTCCCCCCAAATTAAGGCCTATATTAAAACATGCGAAATGGGGGGAATGGTGGGGGGGCTTGCCGTTAGGAAGTACTTTTGTTGCACACCCGGATATGGTGCTGCCTGCGTTGACCCCGATACGAAGTGCCCCACCAACGCCGAGGTCAACATCCAAGCCGTCGCCACCCACCCGCCCGAAGATGCAAGGGGGGGAATAAAGTCACCCCCGAAAAGATGGCCTAGCCACGTTTTCGGGGCTCAAAAAAAAATAAGACCCGGCCTTATTATATGAGAAACACGGTACTGGTTGGCAGCACTGAGGACAAAAGAGAGTTTGCTCCCATCTAGTCATTGTTCAGATTTTTGAACCCAGAAATGATTGCCTTGATGCCCATCAACTCTTGCTAAGGGTAGAACTTCACCATCCTGTGTTATGCTAAGGCAGGGATACCAAGGCCAAGGCCCGCTGGTTTTGATCTGGCCTGCAGGGCTGTCCTGGAAACAGTGACAGACCGGCATGCAGTGCCTCTGCCAGCTAAAACGAAGCTTGGGGGGGTGCGCATGCCCCCCCAAGCTCCGTTTTCACTGGCAGAGGGCTAGCAAAACAAACTAAAAACAAAACGAAAGGAGGAATGTTTCTCCTTTTGCATTTGAGCTTGCAAGAAGGGACAGGAAAGGAGAAAGGGAAAGAGGAAAGACAAAAAGAAGGGAAGATGGGGAGAGAGCAAGGAAGGAAGGAAAAAGAAGGAAAGAGGGGAAGGAAGAAGAAATGAGAATGAAGAGGAAGGAAAAAGAAAAGGAAGGGAGGGAGGGAGGGAGGGAGGGAGGGAGGGAGGAAGGAAGGAAGGAAGGAAGGAAGGAAGGAAGGAAGGAAGGAAGGAAGGAAGGAAGGAAGGAAGGAAG